AAAAGAAAAGGTTTTTCCCTTACTTCGCATCGAACAGTCAACTCGTGTATCGTTTTAAGTGTCCAGACCCATCAGTACACACGCCCTACTCCGGTTCGGAACAGTGAATAGTTGAATACCGGTGGAAATACCTTATGCGCATATAAAACTAGTATCTATGTCATTCTAAAACTTATCGCTAAGATTTAGCACCTCATCCAATCTGCAATACCCTAAGCAGATTTGTCAAACTGTTCTCGGCCACTGTCTTGACAATTCCGCTGGTAGCTGCGCACACAAATACGTCGGTGGATTTTCACTGTGTTAGCGTACCAGCGGTGAAGTGTCCTCGCAGCTAGTGCCATCCACATTAGTAGCCCGAAAATTGCACGAAACATATCACGAAGTTTAATCGTCTTGGCGTTCAAGATGATCAGCCTTGACTCCGAAATGGGACACTATGTTTACCAGCGCGGTAACAGACAGTCGGTATTTGACAATTGTTCCTCTAACGAAGCAGCCGCTTTAAGGAACTTGTATAACAAGTTTGTGAATGTGACTTTTTCAAAGTTACTGTTGTCACAGACCAAAACACTGTTTCGTTAGAATGTGTTTTTGAAAACTTTCTTCACAGCGAGACTCCGTCAGACATCCACCATACATTCGGAAAGGCGTTTGACTACCACTTCCTCCCTTTGGGAGCCGTTGGCTGACGCGTGTAGCGGACTCCTGCTATATTCGAACTCTTAACTTTCCGTTTACGAACCGGACACTGAAGCCGCTGAACCTTAGTTAACGGTAGAGGATCATTGAGACTGACTGCTAGCTGTGATATAGCCAGGCTCATCCCCAACTATCATGTATGTTATTAACAAGCATATGACAAAATCGACCCCCATAGCTACAACGTCCCTTGCAAACCGCCGTCACGCATGGCTTACTGGCCTAAGTCGGTGGTTTGCAGTAGTAAGCTCATGGGATCGATCACAACAGGGTCCGGCAGGGTGGCATGCTAACAAGCACAAATATATGCTAACAGCCATCCGGTGCTTTTCGGTGGTGTGGTGGCTGTCTGACTGAGTCGGGCTGCGATGAACGGTCTCAAAAGACGTGCATGCTTGTATTAAGATGAGTTTTTAGGAGTAGATTCCAAGGAAAAAGGTATGGCTCTTCCTACTTTCGTTAAATATACATTAAAATTGCTCCTATGCAGATTCCGGCCTCTGTCAGTTCCAGATACACCGTCAGATATTAACTGTAGCCTAACCGGTATTATACATTTGTGTCATCAGTTGATATTTCTGTACGTAGATTGATCCAATATATGTAGACGCTAGTTTCTGAATTCCTTAGTCATGAAATGAGGACTTCAGCCCACAAGAGCGGCACATCAAATTTACCTTTCCGTTTATACCTCTGATTTATGTACCTTTTCCGAGCCATTGCCGGTGACCAAATATTAACCGGTCTGCTTAGACCAGACATCGGACTTGGATGCAGCGACAAAGGAAGTAGAAAGCAAACGCGCTTCACCGTCGGTGAACGGCATCCCTTTATCCATTGCTTCTGTTGACATTTCAAAAGCCCTTGATACCATCTCCAACGCTTCGCTGCTTCGCGCAGCCTCCTCTTTTGACGCCCCATCTTTTCTGCTGTATTACCTAAAGTTTTATTACTTCTCCGGGATTTCACTCATCAACGGATTCACCCCGGGCGTGGAGTCCATCAGGGAGATCCATCTTCTCTCTTGTCCTTTATCATAGCACTTGTGGAAGGATAACACACGCAGTCTGACACACAGTGGATTTCCCCAGCAAGCCTCATCGATCATGTCGCTTACGCAGATGAGTAGTACTATTTGCTCGTGACCGAGAATCCCTGATAGAACGCCTAGGACGGTTTAGGAAGGATCTACAACATCTTGGAGTATCAATAAACCACATTGAATCGATGGTACTGGATATCACGGTCGACAGCAAAAGAAAAAATTTACCTATTTTGTAAACTGCGCAGCCCCCTGTGGCGCCCTCCAGATCGCTTCGATCCAGCTATCTGGGGTATTCCGGCTACTTGGATTAGCATTTGTTTGGAAAGGTAAACGCCGGTCGAACAAGTTGGACTAACTCAAAGCACAGCTACGGTAAACATCTCAAGTCCTACCAGCATATGGACATTTTGCGCACCTATCTTTTACGGCACCATACACCTTACCTCTCATTGGCGGTGATGCATCGTCAGACCGTCAAATCGATGGATAGGCTGGTCCGGGCAAGTATACGAAAATGGCCCCAAGGACACTAGCGTCGCTTTTATCACGCATCCATTAAGGATTATGGCCTAGGGCTTTCGTGCCTTTCTAGTAAGCTCCCGTTTCTTCGGAAGCACTGCCTGGAAAGCCATCTTTCACTCTCCCACGCAATTACCATATGGGCGATACGGGAACTTTCAACGACTGCCATCCGGCGCATCGTCATTAAACCCGTAATCCTTGTGATTCCAGTTGTCTTTGATTAAAGTGAGGCGAAGGAAACATGGAAGAATTCATTGCTACGATCTGTAGACGTATCCTTGCTTCGGATAGTATTTACGACACCACTGTCTCCTAACTTGATAAGGAACGCCGAGTAAACTTTTCCCAGACGCTACCTCAGAGGAACCCAACTTTGAGCAGCGGTACTGTCGACAAAAGCTCCATGCTCCAGAGGACGACCACCACGAAACCCAACCGCTCTTCACTGCCGGGGCGCTTTCGGACAAAATGAAACACTTTCTCACCTCTTGCAGTCCTGTGCAGTAACCCACGATGCTCGCTGTAAGAGACACAACAATATCGTAAAGCAACTAACACCCTTCCTCGAAAAGCTTAAATCATCCCGGAGCCCCGCATCTCAGCGGTATCAACGTACCTCAAGCCGGATATAATCGTCATCAAGAACTCCACAGCAGAAGTAATAGACGTGGTAATGTAAGACACTTACAAAATGTCCCGTAGCCACCAACTAAAAATTGGCAAATACGTTGTAGGTGCTCATGCGGAAGACATAGCCCGCTTTGTGCACTCGGAATTACCTACGGTATTAAATATCATGCATCATCTGATAATCATCAACAACCGGGGTCATATATTCCCAGCTTCCGCCAAGCACGTTTCAGCAAAGGGGCTCACCAAACTCGACATATTCAACTTGTGTGTGTCTACCATGAGTGGCTCCCTTCAAGTTTTCCACACCTACACGCGGGGTGCAGTGTCACAAAACGTATCACACTAACACCGTACACACATGTTCGAGAGTGATTCCGATCATTTTTTGCGTTTTAATGATTTCTGTTTCAATATTACTCTAGAACAGTTGTCCAATCTCAGCGAATTTATGTAATGCTCAAACCTTGGGCTATGCATGAATTTGCCGAAAATATATGTTCATGGATCCGTACGTGTCCACAGTAAACTAAGCCAAGGCTTGTGGGTCGTATTGCAACTCGAAGCAAAATTGAGAACGACCAGCTCGTAGTCTGGGTGTACCTTTCACCGACGTCGAGGTACACGTGTTGCTGGAGCCTGCAATCCCGATCAGGTGAATCGCTGACTGAAACCTCAAAACTAAAGATTCGGATGTACCCACTAAGTACTCAATGCTGTTCAGTAGCTGTTAAGGTGGCCTCAAACTTAGACCTAAATCTGAACACTCAAAATCCATTGTTTGCGAAGCAGCAGCCGCAGCATATAAGCTAATGAATTTACTACGGTGTTGAGTGCCACAGACCCTACTGCAGTAACACCAGCCAGCAATCTGGCAACTGTAGGACTATTTGATAATGCCCGTTCCAAAGACTGTGAGTCTATTTCACCTCTATAACAATCCTGTGACCGATAGAAATCCTCCAAGTCTACCACGGAAATCATTTGAGCGACAAATCTGGAGGATCGGTAGTTAATAACATGTAAACTATAGGCGAGATGCTGTGATTGCAAGTAGCATCGCCTTCTGTTGCGTACTGACATGGAAAGCATGCCACACAGTAACGGGATTCGGTGGACACATAAACACTCTAACGATCATTTCGAGTTATTTGGAATCGAATGAAACCAAGGGCTGAAATTGCCTCCAACTTCTCACAAAGGACAATAGCCTCAACGTCTGAATGTACTTACAAAGATGATTAAATATCTCGGTATTGCCCCTTTCTTAGGAATTTTCACCTTTTCTTTACGGGAGCATTTTATCATTGATAAAATTCATGAGGAAATTGGCATAGTAAGCTAGGCGTTTGCTGGTAATTAACAAACTTAGGCAAAGAAATGGACAATATGCATCAGGGTCCCAGCACGCAGAATCGACTTTTTAGCATTTGTGTACGTTAGGCTTTATCATCATCTGAACAGCCATATAATAACAAATAATAATATACAACGAAAGACAACGCTGTATCAAAATATGGCGTGATATGATTATTACGCCCTACTTCTTTCTACTCTCCTAGTGGGAACGGATCAAACGCTTTGCGCTGGTAGTACCGCATGCGCGGAGCAGCCAGTTGGATCCAAAAAAGGATAGCTTAAGAAACTTAGCCGCCGGAAGTGTGCACACGTGAGCTGAGGCTGGAGGCGATAGACGACCGCACTTGGGAACCAGGAAGAAAAAGAAGTCAATAGACAGCAAGAGTTTCGTTTGCTGACTTAGTCAAAAACGAACATACCTTCTGGACCGTAGGCATACAACAGCATAGCAGTGTAGCGCATAGTCTATAGAGAAAGGTGTCATTGCGACGCACGAGTTGTCACTTAATAGCAGTGTAACTGAAGAGACTTCATTCGAGACAAGTACAGCTTCAGCGGACACACAGTAGTGGTATCAGTAGGGGGAACTTGGTTGAGACCTGCACAGTTTGATATAACTCATGGAGACAGTATTGCTGAATCTGTTGAGGAACTAAGCTCAGGCGAGGTATGCGCGAGTTCTGACAGAACAGTGTGAACTTCGCAACATTACTTCTTCTCTTTTGCCTCATTTCCATTACAGTGAGGATTTCTAATGTGGCTTGAGAACCATCTGGATCCGGAGAGTCAACCCGTATTCAGCCTGCTGTAAGTTACGACCTCTCATCCTGCCACATCGGATCGTCACTGAGACAACTACCGTAAAATAACCGCGGTTACTTGGTATAAGTCATCCAATCTGGTGTATCCTTCAGACATCATGCGCTCCGAACCAAGTCATACTCCTCTGTGGTCACCACAATGATCCACAACCACTATTCTGTCGTGCACCTTTAGGCTTTGTGTAATCAACGTGTATTCATTCTTTATATCGGTGCAGATTGCAATACATCCTACTTTTTATTGGATGCAGTTCACTTTCTTCAGTGAGGTGAGGTGGGTCAACACTGGACTCAAAAAAGTGATATGGTGTATCATGTTATGAGGCTCTCTGACAGTTTCCCTACGGTCAACCAGCGAACAACTTGCTGAGAGACATTTGATCATATATGAGGCCTGCCATTGCTGACAAACTAGTCATTATCTGAACTTTGAGACCCAGTTTTTGGTGCTATACGGCCACGAACAGCAACTGGTTCTTGGTCAAAAGCAAACCAGAAACACTTGGCAATAAGCGATCTGACTGACATTGCGGAATTAATGAGTGCATAATTTACATCCTAAGTTAACTCAAGCCAATTCCACATATGCTTCATACAACCGAAGGAGCATACTTTCATTGTTCAGATTATTGCCATGAGTGTACTGGACCATGTTATCAGTTCAAGCTATAAAGGTAAAGATTAAAAAGTCATCCATAAGTAAGTCTCACTCCGACAGCCGTTCAAGCAACAAACATCACACTCTGTGAGTAACCAGGCAAACGTCAGTACGTTGGTATGATACACGAAGTGATAGGAACTAAAAAGGTTCACTTTGTATAAACTAAAGAAACGGTGAGGTTTTTGAAAGACCATTGTGCAGGGGATGAAAACGGTCGTTTAGGAGCTTACTGGAAAATCTTATGTGATGTCATGATGTCTTCTAACAGTCAAAACAACGACGGAATCTATAGTCAACCCGCTGCACTCATAAATATTTTTCCCAGTACACTAGCAAAGCGTAACCATTCCGAACTACTCCAAAAAGGATGACAGTAGAGCGTTGTCGCCAACGGAAGGGAATGTGTGAGGACACAAACAGAACGCTGAAATTAATGGATAGTGGGACCAACTGAGAGCATAAAAGAATTCAATTTTGAAATTGGTTCCACATGTGTGTATGGAAGGAGGTGGAGCTTGGGAGTAAAAGACACCAAGATACGTGACAGTGAATAGACTTAATGTGGTATTACAGCTGACAGTCATAGAAGGCGAAACATGAACGATTGTTGATGACAACTAACGGACACGAAGGGGGATATATGACATCATTGTATTTTGGAACGATAAGCTTAATGGTCCTAGAAAATACATCACAACAAATCGTCTAATTCATACTGAAAGAACAGACAATGGAACAATGGTAATATACGGAAAAAATCGAAACACCTTTCAAAGCGGATGTCAGCAACAGCTAAATGGCACATCTGTGGACACTCCATGATATTCAAGTTAACAAGTGAAGGTTCATCTGCATCGACTCCACGGGCTAGCGGGCCGCTGAGCACAGCTTTGTCACCCATCACCTCCCGATGACTGTGTGTCATCTCACGCAACACACATGGTTCAGTGCAGCCATTTGTGTTTTTTGCATAGATAGCGCAGAAACAGTAATGACATAATTAGATAGAGCGTTCCACAATTTCCAATTTTGGATGGGAAAATTCCGGAGACACTTCAAACGGCCAAATAGTGTGGCCAAATTCAGTAGACGGACTCTCAAGTTTGTTTTAGGGTAGGACTCGGGAGATGGTAGTAAACGGGTCTGGGTTCTTTCAAAATCTGGTGGGTTAATATGAGGTTAGCCGTGGACGAAGATACCTCCTACAATACATTTCAATGTATTTCCGTCTATCTTGGTATGGGAGGTGAAACATGCCCATAGCGTCCCTAGACGCTCTACTCTGTTGGGTCCCGAGTGCAGTGAGATCGCGCCTCTTCTAGGACAACAGGTCTGTACAGCGTACTCCATTTTGGGCATCACATACGCTTTGAGCATTTGCGGAACGATGAATGGATCAGACAAATTGTACGTCTCCCTCAGGAGACCGACGTCTGTACTCACGCTTTCAACATTTTCGTAGGTTGTTTCGAGTAGCCAAGAAGAGTCAAGACGATTTCTGAAAGCTTACTCTGCTGTGAGACTGCCTGCGAAACTTTATCTTTCGGTGTGTGTGGGCCATCTGTCTGAGGACGTGCATGAACCACTGCGATTCAGGTTTAGCCTTTCCGAATCACCGTCCACATCCTCTTGCAGCAACTTGTAAACATTCTAACTACCAACCGCCATTATTTTCCTGACGCAACCGGTGGAACGTAAGAAAGTTGAAGTTCACTCATTACTACCAGAAATAAATATGTCTTCAGCTATGCACATGTGATACACCACGTTCCACCTCAATCGGTTCAAAGAATGAACTAGTCACTTACATCTGCAACCTCTGCTAGAGAAGAATGTTACCGACCCAGGCAAAAACAGGTTTCCGATTCTACGAGTTAACTGTGGGAGCCATACACCCGCTAATAATATCGTCCGTATGTTTAAGTCCGATTAATCAATGCGGTATATGGAGAAGCTCGTCATAGAATTATTCGTAAAGGTGGTAGGATCGTCCACTTTGGAATATCCTTAATTTTGCACAGAATAGAGGACATTTTGTCAATTAACTGCATAAAGTGAGTCTGATTAGTTATATAGTTACCAAACACCTTGCGCACATATACGATAACCATTCTCAAAATGCAGATGGACTAATCTTGCACTATTCACGCTTCCGAAATCAATAGAATATTCGAAGTAAAAAGTTACACATATATGCATCCTTGATGCAATGCGCGCACGATATTGTGACTAAGAGATGCTACATCATCTATTGTGAAGCCCGAAGAGTTATAGACGAACTTATAGGTATCGACAGCAGAAGTACAGGCGGTTTTGTGGGAGTTTCAACATTACTGATGTGCACCCAATTTCATGGTACTTTCGGATTTTTTCTGGGCACTGGGATTATTCTGACTGGCCTCTAAAATTTGGGGAGCATGCGAGTTGTGAGGTACTTTGAAGATATAGGTTACAGGTAACGTGGGGGTATAACGCACTCTTTTAAAACTATTGGTGAAGAACCATACCGAACATCACTTTGTCTGACTACAGTAATTTGAGTTCATTATGTCCATATTATCATTCAAAGTGATAAGTGGACTTGGATAATGTTCAGTTGACCCTCAAATTTAAAGAAAAGATGGAGCCAGTGTGTCGACTAAAGTGAAATAAATCCCTTTAAGTAATCTTATATTTCCTCGTACTCAGCTATGGGAAGAAACTTTTTGTTATCTACGATATAGCTCAATATAGCTATAATTATGGCAGCAAAATATTTGTGAGTTGAAACACATTAAGTCACTGCATTAAACTCTAATGATATTAACGGATGTTACAGACGCATCAGCGTTTGCATACTTAATACGTGTGTATGTTAGCACATGACCTAAGTGGCAAGCAAATTCGATAAACCGTGATCCGACTGATCACTTGTGCGCGAAAACCACTAGAACAAATATTGGCTTGTCTCCTCATTTCGAAGGAAGAGTAGCCCAATTAACTGCTGATTGCATTCTGAGAACCATATAAGTGCGTTTTCACATTTCGGGCTTTGGAAAAATACATTCTGTAACAGCTTTCATCTGGAATTTCCTGTCAGTAATGTCTTCAACTTGGACTGATGAAAATGGGTATGAGGATGTTTATGACCAAGGTTATCGCTGAGGTTGTCCGCGTCCATTGTCACACAGCTTTTGTGGTTCGAATCATATATTATAAAATGAATGCAAGTGGCACAGATTCAGGAACACAAATCCGATCCAACAGCAGTCACAACTGGTATGGTACAGTGTAGTGTCCTTGGTCCTACACTGTTTCTATGGATGTTAACGATATTTTTGACGCTGTGAAATTCGGAACGCCGTATGTCTTGCTGCTGATATCAAAATTATCTACACTTTCCACTGCCCAACCAATAACGAAACGACCAATATGATCCAGCTAGACCTCCACGCCTTAAGAACCTGGTGCTCAAAGTGGGGAATATTATTTACAACGGATAAGTGTTACGCTGTCTTACAAATGCGACATAACATCTAACAGTTTAACCATTAGTGGTAAACCAATTTAATATATGCCATAATGTTCGTGACCTTGGTCTGGTACACTCGTGCTCGCTCAACTTCTCCGAAGAAGTAGCATACCTTCCTGAAAAGACCAGACAAAGCGTTGGAATGTTATTTAGAACTTTCAATGTAAAAGAATCCATACTCTGCGCTTATTCATCGCTTTCGCGTCTTCTTTTGGAATACTGCTCAATGGTGAAAGGGCAGAGCAAACAAACGAGAGCGCGTTGTACTAGTAAATGTACAACGTACATTCACAAAGCACTTAACAGGAACAGTATCGAAATTAGGATAATCTGAATGATGGGAGAAACTCAAGCTTGATCCCATCTGGTTGAGGTGAAGGAAGCACAGCCTAACCTCCTGCACAAGAAAATGCGTATCTCCAACCTTAACATGGCAACAATACAATCACCAGCACACAACACACGAAATAAGGAACATTCGGTAGGGGAATGCAGGTCTGGGACAATCAGATCCGGTAACTTCTTCCATAGTAGATACGCTGGAATTTGGAACAAATTGCCAATCGACATCTGTGCTAGTACTTCACAATAGGCATTTCAAAAAAGGACCGGCATATATTTGACCGTGCAAAATGTGATCCATCTATTGGAATGTCACATAACAAACAGCCAAACATACGAACAAGGTCCAGGATTTATATAATCCAGAAATCAGTCTACAACACAAAGCGAATATTGCAATAGTAAGGCTCATATGCTCACCGTCTTCATTTTCATCCTCCTTCTTACCTATGCCAACGACATAGTTGCCCGCAACAAGTGTGTTATGAGGGGGGAAGTCATCCAAAAACATCATATTTCCCGTCTTCATTATCGATGATCAGACCACTTTTATTGCTCTGTTTCTCTTCCTCCGAATTCATGTGGGTGCCACTATCGGAATTCGAAACTACTGAGTAGCCAATAACAAATCAGGTATTAGTGCTGCTTTAAGAGTGATTAGTTACAGAATCAGAACACTAGGCACTAACATAAATAGTATTATACACGTAGTGATGATAGATACAAGAGAG